CACACTCACAGAAGAATTATATATATAAAGATGACATTCTATTCGCCGTTTAATGAACCAGACACATTACGTTTTATCACCTAAGATTTTTCAGAAGTCAACTATCTTGAATTTCTCAAGATTTGCTTTTAGTATAGAATATAATTGAATAATTTATAATGCATGTTAAGCAGTCTTTTGCTTGTCCGCGTGCTAGCTACTTTCTTTCCAAGTAAAAGCTGTGATAGCATACATAATTCGTGTGTTTACAGTTCGTGACAGCTACTAATTTGGAATCGGGTGATAATCAAACTGAATATAATATATAATAATTTGTGAAAGTTAAAACAATTTGAAATAGGTACTATGCATATCGAAAGGGTCTACAAGTTATTTTTGGAGGTCATGAGTCAAAAAAAACTGACGCCAGACGGAGTTTTATCCCAAAGATTATCCGAGACGTTTAGTTTTGGTTCTTAAAATCCAAAAAGCCGAAAAGATTATCTCTTAACTAAAAGATAAATGAAACAGATAAAATGGGTGGCCTTAATGTTCAATATGAAACTAAAAAACAGATGAAAAAGTAGTAAATTTCGATGAAACATAATAATGGTAGGGGAGCCCACGAAGCTAAATGGGGATTTACTCGAGCGTCGTAGAGACCTATTGGGATGCAAAGCTTAGATGATAAGAAGAAAAAAATGTTATATGATATATACCTTTACATCGGTGGGGGAAGCGGCTATAGATTTTCAAATATGTAAAAAAAAACTGTTGCATAGACATCCTCGAGCGCGTCAGATATTGATAGCATAAATGCCCTACGTATTTTTAATAATGTACGTATGTTAATCTGATCATTTGCATGATGCGGGTGGTTGTATTTAAGGGTTGAAAATGAAAAAAAAAAAATTTAATCGAGCGCGTCAGATTTTCTAAGGGAGTGTTAAGTGCACCAAAAAAAAGCTCTCATTCACTAATCTGACGATTTCGATGGGACGCAAACTCGCGGCCATTTTCATAATGTGCAAAAAAAAATCGCCATTTTGAAATACTCAGCGCGTCAGATTAAGATATATATGGTTCATCTTTATGTTCTAAACGTACTGTCTCATAATCTGACGATTATCTAGAGGGATTCGCCTGATCTGACAAAAAAAAATTAGAAAAACGGTTCACCTTAAAGGCCATACCTGCAACTTCCCGCTAATTCCATTCCTGTGCGCTTAAAATTGTACTTATGGCATTTTTGAGCTCAAAATATAATTTATGTGATATTTTGAGCTCGCAGAGTTCAAAGAAATAATATTTCTATGCATTTGAGCTCTCCCAGCTCGAAAGTCTGATAGAAGTTTCATAGAACACTATTTTTGGAATTTTCAAACTGCAATAACTTTTGAATAATTCGAAAATTCGAATTATTCGAAAGTTCCCGAATAATTCGAAAAATTTCGAATAATTCGAACATATATTGCAAATTTAAAAAATGCGCAATTGTTTTCACTGGGTAATTTATTTTTAAACGAAAAGTATATTATTCGTAAGTAGACTATTTTGACACACGATTTGAAGGAATTTAAATGGATACAATTGAAGATCCAGAGATATTTCATTAATTCGCGAATTATTCGAAAACTTTCGAATTATTCGAAATTTTTACGAATTATTCGAAATTTTTCGAATTTCGAATCAAATATTGATATTCGATTCGATTCGAACGATGTTCGCACACCCCTAGACTCTTTATGATCAGCTGTGATGGTGTCATGGCGGCAGAAACCAGAGTGGGGACGGAGTGAGAGAGTAATAGATAGAGAAAGAGTGAGAGAGGAATAGAAACGCGGAGAAGGAAATGTAGCCATCACGCAGCTGCACGCATTTAACTTTATCGACGAATTTTTGTTATTTCGGCTTGCGGAAATCGTCAGATTATATATTTTTCATTATTCTTGCATTATTTCCTCCAAAATAAAAAAAAAATTAGCTACGCTCGAGAATGTCGAAATGACGTTTTTTTTTACAACTTTGTTGCCCTCCCCTTTTTTTACGTCACTCTCAAATTGTCAGATTAGTGGAATATACACTTTTTAGGATGTAATTAACTCACCCTACCTTAATCTGACGCGCTCGAGAATTTCTGGTGGTCAATTTTTTTTTACTAATCTGATCCTGTATCCTTCACGGGCGGCCTTATATATGGGCCTCATGTTTTGTGGAGGTACTTAACCGGGTACAAAGTATCCCCCTGTATATTAATCTGCCGCGCTCGAGTAACTACAGAAAATCCCCTCTTCGGCTCCCCTACTATAATATTATATGTTTTTGGTGAAATTGATATTTACGCCACTACAATATACATAACTTTTATTCGTGGCGAAATAAATGTAACACATTTTGGGGGCTTTAAAATTCAGCTCTTTAAAGGGCATAAGAGATTAGTTTCTGGAAGTATTGAATTAAAACAAAGTAGGTACCTACTAGATAGGCTAGTGAAGTCGGGCCAGTCAAAAAAAATTATACATAAATGCAAACATCTAAACTTGTACACAAGTATAACCGTTCACCTAATTCAAGATAGAATTTACTAGAATATCTAATGTTTTCAATCATTACCTGTTTCTCACAACTAATAGCTTAGTTACGTTCTACAAATGCCGATGACAAAGCAATCTGACGGAATTCCGGTTTACAATGTTATCGATGTAAATTAATCTTAAAACAAAATCGTAGAAAGTATGTATTAAATTTTGTTTCACTTGTATCACTATACCTAATTGTAAATTATTATTGGGTTTATCAAGTTCAATTATTTAAAAAAGAAGTATCTACTCAGTCGATAGTATAGTCGATGAAAATTGGAACTATCCAATTATAACGTACTTATAGGTACTCTAATTTGGTTCATACCTACGTATTATCACTACATATTATAAAACAAAGTCCTCCGCTGCGTCTGTCTATTCGCGATAAACTCAAAAACTACTGCACCGATTTATATGCTGTTTTCACCAATGGCTAGAGTGGTTCTCGAGGAAGTTTTTAGTATATAATGTGATAAGTTTTTGTAAAAGTACATTAACCAAAATATTTGCTGGAGGTGTCGGTAAAAAATAAGCCGTCTGGGAGCTTTCAACGAAAGCGCTGCCTAAGCCCTTTGAGATATAACCAAATAATGTATGGTGGAATTGTGCATCTTATATAGGTCTACAGAAAAGTCCACGATGGCATATCTATCTTTTAAGGATACTATATCTATATATATAATATATCGTAAATATTGTATTGTTAGACTGAAGTGTAAATAAATGTTGAAAGAATATAATTTAAATAATTTATATTACGTCGTCTGTCATGACTCATGGCTCATTCCCGCGACATTTTTTGTCCAAGTCTAATAAAAATAACAGTAAAATAAAATATATCTTTGGAGCACAATTAAGAGCAGTCTTTGCGAATTTATGATGTTTCGACCTAAAACATTTTAAAATATATTATTATGAAAATAAATTGTTTACATATAAAATAAGTGACTTTAGTTTGCTTTGTTTAATGTAATATAGATTTATATTAAATACTTTAAATAACAATAAATGGTAGATTTTAGTTTCATGATATTAAAAAACAATTATTGCGTAATGAATGAGGTATTTAATGCGTAGTAAGATAATATTAATAATAAAATCGTTGGTATTCCGTACACCTGCACATTCTTAGTATTAGATTATTTGTAAAAGGGATATAAATGAAAAAACATAAATGCCCATTAATAAATCTTAAAGAATTTTTAAATTAATTTAGAATTATATTTTAAAAATACGCCCTCTTAGTCAAAATGATGTTTTATAAATTATATCGCTATTTGAAACTTATAAAATATACATATATGCAAGTAAATAGCATAATTTATATATGTTCTAAGATACTAAACTTATCTGTCTTTATTCTACCGGCTTTGTATGTACCTGTATATCTAAAATTTTGTAAGAAATAATCCAAAAACCCGTACCATACACAACGGAGGGCAGGTTGAACTTGGATAATCAATTATCTCCGCCCTTGAAGGACGTACAGGAATGAAACCGGTTCCTAAAGTTACCAGGGATCAGACAAACTGTATTATAACAAGTTTCTTCACGTTTTACATCAACAACTTGATAATATTTAATGATTTAGTTTATAATGGTCTCAGAAGCGATTGCTTAATTGATATTTAATATACTCTCTGGCTTAAATTTTTCAACTTAAACGCGTTTTATAACACAATTCGACCTATTTATTTCATTGTTATTAAATTAACATCATTAAATTCTCGTAAATCTATGAAAGTATTCTTAGATTTACGAGAATATTTGATATCTATCTATACATATAATAAAATTCTAACTGAGTCGAATCTGATATTTTCTAATAATATCAATCATAATCTGACATTAAATATTTTTTGGAAAATCTTATTGAAATAGTCATTCCTCCGAATCTATAAGTCTTAGAATTTTGGTCTTTCTTTCTGTCTGTCTATCTGGGAACGCAACACGGGAAAACCACTGGACAGATTTTGATGAAATTTGGTATGATGATAGCTGGTTATACGGGTCAACATATACTAAACGTTTAACTATGTCAGAAACCATTGATAAAAGTGGCGGCATTGACGCCTAAAAATCCTAAAACATAGTTTTATTTAATAAACATCGCCATCGTATCAAATATTTGTTGCGGTAAACAAAACACAAAATGTTTGCTAAAGTATATAGTACAGTAATTTTAAGTATATAGACGTATCTATAACTAGTCCATTTAAGTGCTAGATCATCACTATAACCCAAGTAGCGTTATGTATAGATAAACTAATTTTAACAACCGAACGAATAACTTTGTTAACAATGTTCGTCTAAGATACTTTACGATGACGTGTCGCGGCGTTAGTTTCGATTCGTATTTGCACGATAAAACTATTTGTGTAACTTAATTCTATAAGAAATCACTTATTAGACAAAAAATATTTTGTTTTAGTAAAGTCAATGCATGACATAAGAGATTTACAGGTGAAATTACAAGTGAATCTAACGTTATGAAAGTATTTTTGCTCTATTAATTTGAAAATGCAAATTATATATTAATATTACATATTTCAAACTTTATAATACTTTATATTTCATCATTTAAGGAAAAAATAATTAACTTACTTGATTGTTTAAATATTAACGAACACTCTTTATTGCAGAGTTATGTAACGGAACACACGGACAACTCGCAGGTGATCCTCGAAAACCTCAACAGCAAGTACTATTACTACACGCGGACGCGAGGTCTGTTCCGCATATGCTACCCCAAGGAACGTCCTCCTTCAGGTGATATATAAAATTTAATCAATTTACTTACCTATTTAATATTAATGACTAAACGTTTTCTATTATGATAATTACTTAATGGAATACCGTAAACTTTTAAAGCTCAAGCAGACACGTGGGTGAGTGAGTTTCATATATTACCATAAATTAAATTTTTAAAATATAAAATACAATCAATGCAACCGTTAGACAAGCGAGCGACATATTGTTTTTATAAAAACACTAGCATTGCCCGCGGCTCCGCCCGCGTTCTGATGACCAAAAACCAAATTCTTAGGTTTACATATTAGTATACTCTTACATTGCAGTTTTTGTATTTTTTCTCAGAAATGAGATATTTTCTCGCGGTAAAAAGTATCCTATATGTTGACCCGGATAACCAGCTATCCCCATACCAAATTTCATCAAAATCCCTTCAGTGATTTTTCTGTGATCCGGTAAAAACTATAGATTCGGCCTCTGTATCAATAATAATGTTTATTTCAATTAGATTTTCCAAAAAATATTTAATGTACAGATTCGGCTTAGTTACAATTTTATTATATGTATTGGTAGGTAACCATGTGTCAATATAAGTTAAATAAACTTGAAAAATATATTATAGGATTACTAACCGATTTTTATTATATAGTAGAGTAGTTCTTGAGGAAGCAGACCAAATGATTCTATGGAATTTAACAATTCTTGTGGTTTAAACGCCCACGAAACAAAGCGTGTTCCAGCCGTATTCCGGCCATTAGTAATTTTATGAATAATGAAATCAAATGACATACTTTAAAGGGTAATTTATATCTCCATTAAGTACTTACGATGGTAAAATTTTGTATTTTTAAAAGAATTAATTATATTTTGTAGTCCAAATAATCATGTAAACATTACTTATCAAGAAAATACTTTTTAATATAAAAAAAACATTCGATCTATACCACGGTATCTTGGACTTTTTTATTACTAAAAAATCTCCACATTTTCCCATACATTATTTACTCATATATGTACAACTGAAACACGCAAAGAACGCTGTTCTAATTATTAGTTATTTTATACAACTATCTACATTATAGATGTGGATTTTTTGTAAATTCTACAAAAAGTTGTATAATTTATAGCCGGGATATTGTAGCTTTCTATCAGTAAAGTAATTCTCGGATCGGATCATGTTTAATGTGTTGGGAACCCGGATAACATGATCCGATTCCGAAAATTGTTTTATTGATAGAAAGCTACAGTACTAAAAAAAAGATAACAAGTTAATATTAGTCCCGCTGAGTTTCTTTCGCCAGTTCTTCTCAGGTCTGAGGCTTCTTCTTTCCGAACTGGTAGTAGACTCATGACGTTCAGTAATAAAATGTAATAATTTAATGCTGAATAAAATATTTTGAATTTTGATATTTTTTTTGAATTTTGAGTATCCTTGAGTGTAATTAAACAGTTTTTTTATAGAATCTACAAAAAAAACTACAATTTTTGGAATTTGATCATGTTTTCTGGGTTCCCAACACATTTAAACTCACAAATGCCTCTTTGAGACTTTATACATTATAATAAGGATTGATAACCTATAATTTATCATATATTAAAAATAATTAATGAATATTATATATTAATTAATGTATGTACCTAATATAGCACGTTTTTTTAAATTTGCTTAATTTTAAAGTTAAATTGTTATGAAATCCAAAATGATGTAATGTTTTCTATAGACTGTCAATTATGTTAATATATTTTACGTTTAAAAGTAATTAATTGTTCATTGAAAATGAGTACAGAGAATTAATCAGGTAGTTATCCCAATTAAATCCACTTTCATGGTAATAATTAGAGCCTATTGGGGCAGAACTGCGAGTTATGATGAATTGCTATACAAATATATATTGAAGTGTATAGAAAATAGTGGTCATATTACCATATCATACTACCTGTGGTCAGCATAAGTAGCGTACAGTACGGTATAAGACAGGTGTTTAACTGCACAATAAGTATTGTGTTTGTATAGTATCGTGACTATTATCTAGGCTTCGATATATGTCATTTTTTACGTAGAATGGAGATCGTTCTTGAAGTAAAAACTTTTTATATAATACCTTCTTAGATTTAGGCGAATATTTGACATCTCTCTCCCATGACCAAGATTGCTGTAAGTGTAAAGTTTACGAAACCGAAACGTCGGGGACTAAAAATCAAATTAAATCTGTAAAAAAATCCGAAAAAGAAAAGATAGTTTAATTAAAAACTTTTTATATAATCCAATCACAATCCACAACTGCCATATAAAATCTGCTGCGTCTGTTCATTAAATTAATGAAATAGCTATAAAGTTATTTAAATTTTAGTAAAATAAAATTTCATTACCATGCATGAATTAGATGAGTGATTTATTTCGTGTCATGCAAAATTTCTCCTCAGAAACCGGTGTGAAAGGCTTGTGGTTGAGAATTTAACCTGCGCTCGGTTGACTCTTTAGCCTAGAAAATTACGCAGTACGAATAGATAATGGATTGACGGCACAATTATTATCGATTTTACTCTTAACGGACATAGTTTCATCCGTCTTAGTATTCGCGTGTGTTATTATAAATTCGTGAAGTCTTGTTAACAATAATAAGAAATATATATATATATATATATATATATATATATATATATATATATATATATATATATATATATAAATTTATATATAATATTTTTTATAAATAATTTGATCTTTGACGATTTTTTATAATGGATCCTTTTTTTTAACACTTCTATATCTACAAAGACGGTCAAGTTTGAATTAAGGGTGAGTATTCTGTTAATTATACTTACTTATATTTATATATGTAGGTAAAATCGTTACGGAAAAAGATATTGTGCCTAAGTACAGATATAACAAAAAAATTAATATTACATTTAAAGTAAAAAAAATTATTGCGATATTTTTTTTGTAAATTTGCATAACAGACCACCTCTCGCGTCACCGTCTTGGCATTTCCTTTGGGTCATTCAAAGGTTGATTCGAAAGTAAGCCGATAATTACGCATCGTATATTCAGTTTGCACGACACATACCATAAAAGGTAGGTATGTCTTGTTGTACATCACTGTACTATTTTGGTATGAATATAATTTTAATATGTCTACGAAGGTCTAGGACGTATTGATACGTGACAAATATAATACTTACATAGTTGATGTTTTTTTATATCTCTTCAAACCGTATAAAATATATAAAATACTAGCATTGCCCGCGGCTTCGCCTGCGTTCAGATGACCGCAAACCAAATTCTTAATGTATATTAATATACTCTTACAATGCAGTTTTTGTATTTTTTCTCAAAAATGAGGTATTTCCCCGCGGTAAAAAGTATCCTTTTGACCCGGATAACCAGCTATCACCATAGCAAATTTCATCAAAATCCCTCCAGTGGTTTTTCTGGGTTGCGGTAACAAACAGACAGACAAAAGTTTTAAAAACTATAGATTCGGCCTCTGTATTGATAATAATGCTAATTTCGATAAGATTTTCCAAAAAAATATCTAATGTACAGATTCGGCTTAGTTACAATTTTACTATACATATATGTATGTATAGATTATCTGGTCTGAATAGAGCAGAAAAATTTTACGAGTTATAGTTATATATTTTTTTTAATCAAAATACAATTTACACATACAAAATTTGTTATTTACATTATTTTAATTATACTAAATTATTACATGTTTTAATAAGAATTTCCTTTTATGGATTCTACGTGCTTTATTCATGTCGTAATATATTCAAGGTGACGTAAATAGCGCATAGATAAATCACGTTCCACTATTGTACAAATTCTCATCTAAACGCTAACTGAGGTGTCATGCATGTTCCTGAGATATGGAAGTGTAAGAAATATGCAGCAGTACAGGCTTTATGTATATATGGGTCGTGAAGGCAACAAAGCGTGGTTGAAATCGTTTTATATGATTTATGTCTAGATACTTCCTAGAATCATGACGATTACGAAATGTATTTTTTTTTAATAATAACAAATTATAGTTGCCTATTGGTATATTTTATTAGTTAGTGGTATATGTTTATTAGTTAGTGGTTAGTGGTATATTTAATTTATTCTATCAAAAGTACTTAAAAACTAGTTAGTAAGAAACAACAATATTTTACTTTTTGTTAACTTTATCAAAAGCGAATTTATATCTAAGAAATAGTGATATTTGGTGAATAAAAAGATAAAATGTAATAAGATAATTAACTAAACAAAGTGTTTTTATAGATATATAGATGGGAAAAAGTTTTGTTAATATGACTTCTTTTTCTTCCCAAGCTTTTTTTAAACAGAGTTTAGTTTAAACGTTTGACCGCCTAACGTTTTTATACTAGATTTAGCCCGCAGTTCCGCTTTCGTAGTAAGTACTTCCATTATAAAATAGCCGTTGTTAAACTAGAATGTAAGGTATTTCCATTTCGAATTTCAATTAAATCCTTTAAGCCATTGTAGTGTGAAGAAACAACAAGTATGCTCATTCACTCAAGTTTCAAGCAAAAGACATGTTTGGTATTGTTTAATTTACCATACTTCCTTCCTTTAATCAATACTATAATAATGCACTAGCCTTTTTAACAATGCCAGCACCAAAAAAGGTCGTCGCCTACTGTTTTCAACAAGGTTGCGATCTTGACCTCGTATAATTTAAAGTATGAAATTTTTAAGTTGGAACCAAATCTAATTATCGCAAACGTCTTAAACTATTACCCAAAGACCACAGTTGTGAACATTTTGTTGGGATTATGTACAACTTATTTATAGCTTTTGTGAGAAAGAAAGACAACAAGAAGTCTTAAGTGATTAAAGAATACATCCTTATTTATATCTTATATCGTTAAACGAGCAATTCTTGTATATATAATCTGAATCTCGGAAACGATTTTCATGATATTGAGTACACGGGGTTTCGGGGGCCATAAATCGATCGAGATCAGTCTTATGTCTGAGAAAACGCGTGTTTTAGAGTTTTCATGCAGTT